CTGTGATTCTATGATTATCACCATATCACCAAATCCTCTCCACCCCTCATCTCCAGTAGCACGCCTGTACTTGTCAGTGACTGCCTGGACATGGTGTTCCTCAGGCAGCTGCAGAGCTCTGTAGCCATGGAGAGCCTGCACCAGGCCTTGCAGTGCCCCATCCTGACAGGGGGTCCCTGCCCAGGGGCTCCTGCTCTGAGGCAGGGCTCCTCTGCACCCTCTGCTGTGAGGAGAGGCACCTTGAGCCTGAGCCAGCACTGGCTCTGAGGAGGTGGGTTTGCAGTGGCAGGGTCAGTGTGCACCTCGTTCTGCCAACTGGAGGTGTCTGCTGTCCCAGCTGTCCCACTGGGTGGGTCCTTCAGGCCAGTGTTGGGCATGGACAGTGTAGCTGGCTGTAACTGAGGGCATCTAGATTCTCTTTGTCCTTGATAAAAGAAATAAGTGTTTATAGGATATGATACATCATGGGCCAGAAGGGTTGTGGGAATCATACCCTGTGTTTTCTCTCCTGAATTTAGAGGTTGTAGGTATCATAGGTCGTGTTGAAGCATCTTCTTGCCCTCTGCTTCCCTAACAGCACTAGTAGGGTCTCACAGGTTCCTCATCTCTCCACGCAGAGGTAAAGGCTCTGGGGCTGTCTGGAATCACTATTGCAGCAAGGATGAAGACTATAGAGTTTATCAACATCCATCCATTCTACAAACGTGGCCTGCCCTACACAGGGAAGGTAGGAACTGTGGAGCCCTTCTCTGCTATGTCACAGGTCTAATCTTCTGTGGGCAGAAAGCAACCACCCTCAGGAGAGCAGGCACTGCTCTGCTGGTACCCAGCAATGGCTGGAGCCTCCTGCAGAAGCAACTTCTCCCCATCCTAATCTAGTTTATTCCCTGTGGGGCAGCTGCAGTCTCTAGATGTTTCCCCAGGAGTAGCTCCTGAAGCTGGTCTGTGCAGTAAAAGCCATGTGGGATGGGGGTGGCAGCAGCAGGGACACAACATTCCCTTCAGACAAGACAAATGGTGGCTTGGCAGAGGTCACTAAAGCCTTGTGCATCAGTTCACTGACTCCAGTGACCTGGGTGATGCTAGCACTGCTGCCCAATGGGGCTACAAACACTTTCACCTGGGCCAGTACTAACCACAGCACAAAGGTGGGCAAGGAACAACAAGAGTTAAGTTGCTGGAGACCAGACTGCTTATGATTGCCAAGGATCTCCAAGAAGCAGCCCAGAATGTGAGAAAATCACCTTTCCCCCCAGTGTAGGTGTCTCATCTGATTGCACTGACATTTATTTATAGTTCTGAACAGCTGCACGTTGTTGCTTTGGGGTTTTTATCACACTTGGATTTGAATCCTTCCAACCTGCCAGGGAGCTAAAAGGGCTGAGGAAGCCCAATGAGAGAAACAATTAATGCCAAGCACTGGCACTGCCTCTGGGTGTGGCACAGCAGGGTGTTAACCTCCCCCCTTCTCTTCTCTGCAGATGTTCTGCCACAGTGATAGATCTCCCCTCAGAAATGAAACCATCTACCTCATCGTTGATGTCAATGATGAGAAGACAGAGTTATCATTCCAAACAGATGACAATGGGGAAGCCCACTTCTCCCTGGACACCACCAGCTGGAACAGCACAATGGTTTCTCTGAAGGTGAATATCAGCCACAGGAAAGGACAAAGTGAAGGTAGACTGAGGAAAGGGATAGAAAGTGGAAGAATCCTGAGGTCTGGAGCACAGTTGTGTGGCTCCTGATCTCATCTGACTGTGTCTGGAGAAGGATCTTTAATTACTCCCCAGTGCCACCTCCTCAGGGAAGCTGGAGGCTGTGCTGCAGAAGTTCAGTCAAATGGTCACTAGAGCTGCTCTGCTGCTCTCCTCCCTCATTCTCCTTTGATGCCACCAAAAACATCTGTTAATTTGAATAATTCCTAGAGGAAATCTCCCTTTCCTCCACGCTGGGACGTGGAGCTGGCTCAGCAGAAGTGGCAGTTGACACCTGTCTCTGTTGAACCCCTCCTCTCGTGGCTGCCCTTAACTTGCAGCAGCACAGGTCTGCTCCAGGCTCAGCTTGGCAAGCAGCTGCTCTTGAGCCCTCTTTCAACATCAGACCTTGAAGCACTTGGCTTCTTCTCCTCATAGTTTCTGATCCTACTGGAGCTCATTGACCAGCCCTCCTGTACCCCCAGCTCCCCACTGCCTGTGTTGCTGCAGCTGGTGGATGGATGGATTCATGCCCCACCTCTTATTGCCATCCATTTCTCAAAGACTGCAACTCTTGTTCCAGATGTTTTTCCCTGAGCTCCCATTTTACCCCGGGTGAGGCTGGGCAGGCTTGGTGATCAGAGATTCTGTAATCTAGGAGGTAGATTTCTGTCCTCAGGGGGCCTGGGGACAGGCTCCAGCTCTCATTCCCAGGCCCATGGCTGTTGCCCACAGAGCTGTGAGTTAGAGAAGCAGAACTTCACCACCCAAAGCTGTCGTGGTGTCTGTTGTGCTGCTGGGCAAACAACTGGAAACACAAAACAAGACCAGGGGTGCTGTGCTGGGTTTACAGTCTGTTGTGAGGGGTGGCCCTGTGGAAAGATGAAGGGGAAAAAACGTGATTCTGGGCAAACCTAGCAGACTTAGATTTTTGCTAAAGCTTCATAAGAGAAAGTCTCATAAGAGACCTTAAAATGACATTTAAACAAAGTATTTGAAGCATAAAGATGCGTGGTCTGCCAGCAGCTCGGGTGAGGAGGTTTTCAGGAGGTGCACAAGCTCCCTTGTACTGACTGACACCTCGTGGGTTTGTGCTCTGAAGGGGACCTACAGCCTGGGAGATGATGATGAGCAAGGTTCTGCTGAAAGTCAACCAGGAGTCAACGAAGGCTTCCACTGGTTGAAACCTTTCTATTCGGAGAGCAACAGCTTCCTGGAGGTCAAGGCCAGGGATGATGTGCTGCCCTGTGACCAAGAGCAGGAAGTGCAAGTGGATTACATCCTCGACCACAACAAACTCAGCTCTGAAGGAGACCACATTACTTTCTATTACTTGGTGAGCACAGAAGACAGCTGAATCTCAGGGCAAGGTTAGGCTTGCTGGCATTTTACCCTCTTCACCCAGCACCTAGGTACTCACAGGAAAGGGTAAGCTGCTCCCAGAAGAGTGTGAGTCAGTTTGTGAGTTCTGCTCTGCCCAGTCTTCCTGTTCTCCAGTTCCTGGACCTGCTCCTAGCCTTCAGCTGCTTTCCTTTGTGCCTTGACCTAAGCTTGCTTGGCAGATGCCTGCCATTTACCCACTTTCTGTCACGTTCCCATGGGTGGCAGTGGAAGCCCAGCCTGGTTTCTTCCCAGCAGGTATGCCACAGCCTTCACCTGCATCTGTGGCACTCTGCCCATAAACCAAGAGGCAACCTCTGGGGCAGCTGACCCCCCTTGGCCTGTGTGTTTGCAGGAAAAGAGGCTTGAACTCACACCTTAATGCACTCCACAGTTGTGTCACCGAGTTCAGATGAAGTCCACTTTCAAGAAAGTGGGTCCAAAGCAAGGGTGAGACTACCCCCTAGCTGAGAGCTTATGGTTGTCTTGGTCACTCGAATGGGGCTTATTGGTATGGTCAAAAAGTGCTGCACACTAGTGATGTGAGGATTACAGTTCATGGGGGCTTAAAAGCAGCTGCCCTTGGCTTCAGGTGTGCTTCTGTCTTTGCAGGAGACCACATCTCCTCACTGCCCAACCAAAACCTCTCGATTCCCTTCCCAGCTATGTCACCATCTCTGCAGATCATCTGCTGTCTTTGGGTCGTGTCCTGCCAGAGGAGCTTCCATGACAACGTGTCAGATGTCCTTCTCTCTTCTCTTTTCCTTTCCTGCTCTCCTCATGCTGTCAGAACTCAGGCCCTTGAACAGCTCTTCTCTTTGCCCTTCAGGTGGTAGGAAAAGGCAAGATCCTTTCCAGTGGAGAGAAGCAGGTGCCCATCACCCAGCACGAAGGTGAGTAAAACACATGAAGTGCCCCACAGCACAGTGACAATCTGTGCAGGTGTTACTCCTGTAGGACCTACTGAACAGAGTTCTTAGGGGTGGTCCATCTCTTTAGACCAACACAGTCTCCTCAAAATTCAGTGTCCTTCTAGGCAACTGTCCTCCTTCCTTCTCAAACTGATCTAATATATGACCTAATGACTTTGCTGCTAGCTTGTACCTCTGGAGAAGATAAAAAGTTTGTTTAGCTTGCCTGATTAGCTAATGTGCAGTAGGGCAGAGGAACACTTTTGCCAAATGTGAGCCAAAGAAGTGGCTGGTGTAATCTGTGAGTGTCTATGCAGGATGTTTTTATCTGCAGGTAAAAATGATGAAATTCTCTTTTGATTCTTATTGTGCCACCCCCCAGTGAGCTGATTCAACTGACTGATTCAACTCACTCCCTTGCTGCTGTCCTGTGCAGGTCTGCAGGGCTCCTTCTCCTTGACTCTGGCCATTGGTGATGACTACCTGCCCAACGTCAAGCTCCTGCTGTATGCACTCTTCTTGGATGGAGAGGTCGTGGCTGACGTGGAAGAGTTCAAAGTAGACAAGTGCTTTAGACACAAGGTGAGCAGAAACACAAGCAGTGTGGTAGCACCACTGATGTTCTCTGGCCTGCTGTGGTGCCTGGTCTTGTTTCATCTCAGCCAAGGGGTGTGAGCTGGGTACATGTCACATGTTCAGTATTTTTGGCTGGGAAACAAAACAGGTAACCTCATTCTTCCCTCAGTTCCTACTCCTGCCCCCCCAGCACTGCCTGAGAAGCCTTTTCCAAGGAGTAAACCAGGCCCCCTTGAACTCCATTTTCACCTCCTGTTACCCATGACTGACTGGAGAACACATTGCCCCCCACATTCTCCCTATACAGAAGAGAAGCCTTCCTGCTCAGCTCCCCGTGGCAGCTCTGGATCAGGGGGTGCTGGCTGTGTGGTCAGGAGGAATTCTGGCTGGGCTGTAGGCACTGCAACCCTGTAACCTTTCCAGTGGGTTCTCAGGAGGCTCTGTCTCAGCATCTCAGCCTCCTCCCCCACTTTGTTCTCTGTCTTTGCCTCTGCTGCCCAGACATCTAAGAGTCACAGGGTCCCACTCCCCAAAGCTAAGCCTCTGACCCCATCTTCTTTTGCAGGTGACACTGGATTTCTCACACAAGGAGGAAGTCCCAGGATCAAAAGTCAGTTTGGAGCTCAAGGCTGCTCCAGGGTCCTTGTGCTCTGTCCGAGCTGTTGACAAGAGTGTCCTCCTGGAGTACAACAACACCCTAACAGCAGACAAAGTGAGTGCAGCCTGCTGAGACCAGCCCCCTACCATCTGCCTGCCCTCTGGCTTCGGGTGCTGGCAGGAGGCAGCCCCCAGACCCTGCCAGGTGTCCCACAGCGCTAGGTGGCTGCCCTGGCATCCCCCCTCCGTGGCCTCTTCTGAGCAGTCATGTGGTGACCACGTTCCTCACACACCAGATCTGCACTGTGGGCCCCTGACTTGAGGGTGGTGGCTGTGGCATGGCCCAGGGGTGGGCAGGAAGAGCAGGATCCAAGAGATGTTTGTGCTTTCCACCTGGAAATCTGTGCTTAGCAGCTTTCCTCACATCTTCCTGCTCTGCCACCTTCCATCAGGCAGTGAGGCTAAACTTTTGAAATGGAATTTTGCCCCAGTAGGTCCAACTTAACCCCCAAATCCTTCAGCCCAAAGCCCACCTCACCATTTGACCTCTACACATGCTTGTTGGCCAGTTCCTTAGGAAGACCTGTGTTTCCATTGCAGCTGTCTGAGAAGCTGTTTAAGGACAGCTTTACAATTGGAGGACGAGGGTTCCCTTATCATCTGGAAGACTTTGAGTCATACCCTTGTCTGCTCCAGCAGCCCAGCCTCCACAAAAAGGCTCGGATGGAAGGACCGTGGTACCAAAGTGATGCAGATGTCTTCAATCTGATTAAGGTGAGTGCCTGCACTTCCACTGAACTTCTCCTGAGACAGGAGTTGCCAGTGTGCCACCCTGAGTGCCTACAGGAGTTTAGTCTTGGCACACTTCAGCTGCCCCAACTTTCATTGCTACAAATCATCTGTGCCTTGTTCTTCAACACAGCCACCCCCATTTGGAGACCATGGGAAGAGACAAAACTCAGGAGTAAACATAGAACACACCCCCTGATTAGAGAAAAACAGTGTTAAAATGAACAAACTTGGTTAATTTTAACCATATCTACCTTATCTACAAACAGGGAGTAGCAAGAACATCCCAGTAAGACCTGAGTGCTTCACCATATTTTGACCAATCACCACTTGGCTATTATTTTATTTGGAAACTTCTCTATGTTTCCTTGAGTCTCTACTTCCTTCTCCTCAAAGCAGTTTCAATAAAAAGAAGTCCTGCACAACTTAGTTTTGTAGCTGACTGTCCAGACAACTGACAAACTAGTCCACTAAAAAGTACAAGGACGTCTTGGCAGCAATAACATCTGCTAACTGAGAGCCAAGAAGTGCTGCTTCTGACAGAACATTGGCTCTGTCTCAGTGTTAGGGTCAGGCATAGGGAGGACAGAGCTACCTGGCATTTACTTTTTTTGTGAAGTGATAACTGGCCCCAGTATCCCTCAGGAGGTGGTTTCCCTTCCTCAAGCACTGCCCAGAGCCCGAGCCTGTAGGTTGATGCATATGTGTATAAATGAGCAGTGGTTTAGAGCGTTTCAGCTACCCCCAGCCCCCTTATGATACCTGCTATCATGAGATGTTCTCAACATTCCTTGTTCCCTTTCATTTATCAGTGATTTAATGTCTTGTTTTCCCAGCAACTGCGCATGAAAATCTTCACCAATACTAGGATCAAGAAACCAGTTTCCTGTGTGCGACCAGAGTTTGAGAAGAAGTATCTTAAGAAAGATGACAACATTCTTGGTAAGGAATGGACACATCCAGCTCCATGATTGGAGGGGCTCTCCTCTCCCAGTTCTGGCCAAGCAGCAGCTCAGGGGGTTGACTTTCATCCTGCTGTGTCTCTTGTTGGTGTAGGAGAACAGCAAAGCTCCTGTCCAGTTCAGTGAATGATTGATGAATCACAGCTAAAAGCTCAAATCTCTGTGCTCTATTGTCTGCCCTTCCCATAGGAAACATGCCAGCACTCTCACAGACCACTCCACCTGAGCAGCACGTGCTCTCTGCCCCTGGATCCAGACCAAAGCTGCTGGATCTCTCAGGCTGAGCCTCAGGCTCCCTCCAGCTCCATCCCCCTCGGGCTGAGGTCCCAAACCAACCCTGTCCACTCTTGTTTGGGGTCACAAAGCACTTGCAGTTTGTGTGGGTGTGCCTGGGGCTGGAGAACTGATTTCACCTGGAGCTCTGTGTGCTGTTCTCTGAGTTACCACTTGCTCCCTGGCAGACAGTGTTGCTGTGGATTCTCCTTCCACACCTCACTCTGACGACAAGAAAAAGCCAAAGCCAAGGACATTTTTCCCAGAGACCTGGATTTGGGATTTGGTCCCTGTTGGGTGAGTAACAGCCTCTATCTCCCTTCCCCAAAGAGACCCCTGAAGACTTCTGGCTGCTTCTGAGCAAGTTCTCTCTTTTCCTGCTGTAGGGACGATGGGCAAGCGTCTCTCCAAGTTGCTGTCCCTGACACCATCACTGAATGGAACGCAAACACCTTCTGTGTTGCTGATGCTGGCTTTGGATTCTCTCCTCTGACCACTCTCAAGGTCTTCCAGCCTTTCTTTGTGGAGCTGTCGCTGCCATACTCTGTCATCCAAGGAGAGACTTTCAGCCTGAAAGCCACTGTCTTCAACTACCTGAAGGACTGTATCCAGGTAAGTGTTCCCACAGTTACATGGCCTCTATCAGAGCAGAGAGATGAGCTCAAAGGCAAGCCATGAACTTCTCAGGAGCCCTTGGTGCTGGCATCTGGGCCACAAAACTCAGCCTTGCACCTCATGAGCCACAGTGTCTGCTCCCTTGTGCACTGCCTACTAACCAGGCCAACGTCTGCCTGTACCTCCCCCACCCTCAGGTGCACACCACCCTCACAGAGACCCCAGAGCTCCAGGTGGAACCCTGTCCAGGCTGCCAGTTCACCAGCTGCCTCTGTGCCAACGAAGCCAAAACCTTTGTGTGGAACGTGACAGCCACCAGCCTGGGTGAGGCCGAGCAGAGGGAGGGGTGCCAGGGGAGGAGCTTGGTTGCCCCTGCGTGCCTGGTCCTGCTGCTCACACACAGCAAGAGCTCAGCAGTGTGCTCCTGTGCTCCCTGCAGGCCAGGTGAACGTCACCGTGAGCAGCGTGGCAGAAGAGTCCCACAGCCTGTGTGGTAACAGGGTTGCTGTGACACCTTCACAAGGAGAGACTGACACGGTGATAAAACCTCTGCTTGTGAAGGTCAGTCCCACCCCAAGGTGGAGAACACCTTGTTAGCAAGATGCCAAGAGGAAGTTCAGCCTCTTCTTGAGAGCAGAGGTGTCTGCTGAGGGATGGTGACTTCCCTTCCTGCCTGCTCCACCTGAAGTACTCTTCCTCCACCCACAGCCAGGAGGTGTCCCACAAGAGAAGACCCAAAACGCCTTCCTCTGTGCTGCAGGTATGGGACAAAAATCCTTCAGTGCTATTGATCAGGATGGAAGGGACAAGGCTACTGCCAACACTCAGAGCTGGGGATATTTGTCCAAGAGCAAGCATTCATGGCAACATCCCTGCCTGGGAGAACAACCACTGTAGTTTGTCCATGTCTGCCTTCTCTCTGGCAAAGTTTCCTGTATTAATGCATTTGTTTGCAAGTCTCAGCTGCTGTGACTCAATGAATGTCACACTGAGCCTCATCTGGGTCTCCTTGAGATGTTACACTTGTGTGTGATGAATTTCTGGGCTCTGCCTTCCTCAGATAACACCATCTCTGAAGAGTTCTCCCTGACTCTGCGTGAAGAAGTGCTGGAGGGATCTGGCCGAGCCACTTTCTCTGCAATTGGTGAGAGGCTTTCCCTGCTCATGGGTCCCCCTGGGAAGAGCCTGCACAATGCTTTGCCCTTAGTGGGGCATCAACCCAGTTCCTGGTGAGATAAACTGTAAGGGGTGTGATGCTGGCCTCAGAAATGTGGACCAAGTCATCTTTGTCAGTGTTTATCCCTCTCATAAGGAGTGATCCTGGGGGATCCTCAAGTGGCTGGAGGAGAAGGCACAAAAAGGGGTATCCTCTCTGACACTGCTATCCACCTAAGTGAACCAAAACCATCCCTGGAGATTTCCATCTAGTTTGCCTCTGGGATTCTTTTCCCTCCTTGATACCCACTCAGGAATGACAACTCTACCTTTCTTCAGACCCCTTCAAGCTCCACACTCCCTCCCTCCTCTCAGAACCACGACGTCTTCCCTCTCTGGGATGTCTGAATGCAGGAGGGGTCAGCAGAAGTCTTAATCACCTCTGCTCAGTGAGGAGCTGGCTCTTTTCCAGGACCCCAGTAGGGTTCAGAGAAGGCAAAAGTCCATTTTATACTGCTAAATGTCTGTGCTTTTCCTCTCTCCTGCCCTTAAGGGGACATCATGGGCCCAGCACTTGAAAATCTGGACCGGCTGCTACAGATGCCCTTTGGCTGTGGGGAGCAGAACATGGTCCTGTTTGCACCAAACATCTTCATACTCCAGTACCTGAACAAGACTAAACAACTGGTCCCAGAAATTAAACATAATGCACTGAAATTCCTGAAAACAGGTAAACATTGTCCTTCTTCCTTCTGCTATAAATCAAGACCATAGGACACTGGTCTGGTGGGGAGGGGCAGGGCAGGAGTGGGAGCACTGCCAGGGCTGTGGCAAAGGAAGGTATCACTGAGAAATGTCTCATGGGAGGAAAAGCACATTTCTGAAGAAACAGGACTGCTGTCTCTGCCTTTTGTTGAGGTACTGAGGCTGCTCTTGTGAGAAGGATGTGGGTAATTAGTGGTTTCCATCATTATGTGGTGCCTGTAGTTTGTTCCCTTATTAGTCCAAGGCAGATGGAAGCCCCTTGTGGAAACAGAGCATCAGCTGCTATTAACTGGAATGAGCAGTGGCCTGTGGGGCTAGACAGGGGTTTGGCAGATTAGTGTTCCCTCATGTTTTAGGACCCATTGTGAGGGTGTGTCAGCTCTGGCCAATATAATCTGAGTTAAATACAGCACTAGTGTCTGTGTCTCTTTTTGCCATTTCATCCTGTCAGTCTCATTATCCCTCTATGCTGCCAGCTCAGCAGCCTCCCATGGATGGGATTTTACTCCCTCTCCTTCCCTCTTTCTCCCTTGAGTTGTAAGTTGGGATAGGTGTCTGGGAGAGGGAGGCTTATCCAGGAGAATTCCAGGAGAATGGCAGCAGAAAGGCAAGGCAGAGGGTTAACCTACAAGGCCATGTGGAGGGTGGAAGAACAGCAAGCAGATGCAGATGGTGTTCTGCTCTCAGAGCTTAAAAGTCATGGCCTTGTTGCTTTCTGTACATCCCATCAAAAGTGTTCTCTTGAGTGCTAGCAGAAGTGCTGAAAAGCCAACAGGGCTTTTGGGTCCCCTCTAGTAGGAGCCTTCCCCCTCTCTCCTGAGGCTCTTTTATTCACAGTAAGGTGCCCTCGAGGGCTCTCTGGGGCACGGGAAGGCAGGAGGTGGCTGAGCATGCCACCAGGCTGCAGGACAGCAGGGCTAATGCCCCACACTTGGCACGTCCCAGCCGCAGTGGGGCAGAGCTCAGGGGTGCTCTGCAGCCGCCCCTTGCCCTGCTGACGCTGGGGAACCGTGGGGGGACAGCTTTGCCTCGGTGCCCCTGGCTGTGGGACCTGGGGAAGCTGATTGCAGTGAAGCCTTTTCCCCACAGGGAGGAGATGCTCTGAGGTGTTGCAGACCCCTCCCTGAGCGTTGTGTCACCTGTCCCCACAGGCTACCAGCGCCAGCTGCTCTACAGACACCCCGACGGCTCCTACAGCGCCTTCGGGCCAGCCGACGAGGAGGGCAACACGTGGTGAGTGAGCAGAGCCACCCCCCCAAACCCCCTGCCCGAACCAGCTCCTGGCTGTGAGGTGGGACCCCCTCTGCTCTGCCCGCAGGCTGACGGCGTTTGTGGCCAGGTCCTTCCAGCAGGCCAGCTCCCACATCTACATCGACCCGGAGCACGTGCGGAGCGCCCAGCGCTGGCTGCACGGCCACCAGCTGCCCAGCGGCTGCTTCCAGAGCCTGGGGAAGCTCTTCAACAACGACCTGAAGGTCTGGCTGCCAGGCAGGGCAGAGGGAGCAGGAGCACGCTGTGGGGCACAGGGTTGCTGCCCCATGTGCTATCCCTGCGTAGCACAAAGCACTGTCCCTGCAGGCAGCTGCCCAGAGCAGAATGCAAAAGCGTGGACTAAACCAGCAGGCATCTTCTCTGTGTGACAGTTTAATCTCTTCCAGGCTTTCTTCATTTTTACTTTAGCCAAAAGTCACCGTGGCTGTTTGTGCCAAGGCACTTGAAGGGCACAGGGAGGATGATTTTTGTATTTAGGTGCTCATCTAGAATACCCTGGCTGGATTCTCTCTCTCGTGCCTTATGACACACAAAACTCTCCAGACAGGCCTAACTGTGTTCTAATTTGGGGTTATCTGAAGACACAGTTGTCCCTCCACTGCCCCAAAAGTATGACTTCTGCAGCCTGGCATCCCTGAAACCATCCCTGCAGGGTTTGGGAACACACCAAAGCCTTGGTGAGCACGCCCTAGTGCTCAGGTACCAAACAGTGCATGCAGCATGGCAATGCTTGGGTGCCTTGTCTTTGTAAAGGGCAAAGGATAAATCTAGGAGAAAACCCCAAAATCCAGACTGACCAAAGTGCAGAATTGCCCACATGAAATACCAGGCAGCTTTGCCTTGTGTCTATGGCTGCTCTCAACACCAGACCTTCCTGCTGTTCAGTAAGTGAGCCTGGAGTGCTTTCCTTCAGTCCCCACGTGTTCAGGACTGCCCAGAGGCAAGCCTGTGCTCTCCCAGGTACACCACCCACAGAGGGTTCCAGTGGCTACACCATGACAAGCAGCAGTTGGGTTTGCCCCTTTCTGATGTTTCTGTGTGTGACTTGCAGGGTGGTGTGGACGACACAATCTCCTTAACAGCCTATGTCACTGCCACGCTGGTGGAGCTCCCCCTGGAGAAGAATGTAAGTCACACCTAGAGCCCTGCAGGGCTTGGGAGCATGCTCAGCCTTCACTCCTCCCCAGGTCTGTAGTTTCAGGGAGTAACCAGCTTGAATTTGTGAAAGGTTCTGGCATATCCCACCTCTGTACACAATAAGCTCAATCTTTTCATTTTCATTTCATTTCATAATCTTTTCACTTGGTAAGGAGTTCTTAATATAAATGGCCTGACCTGCAGCAAAGGAATCTGCAGCTCCAGGGGAACAATTGTCTCTGAAAACAGCTCAGGGCTTGCAGGTAGAGGCAATAGTTTCTATTAAACTGGCCAACATAGCTAAAAGAGAGAAAAAAAAGACCACCTTTCATCTATGCAACTCACTCTCCTTCAGACCTGGAATAAAACCAGTGACCTTCAAATTGGGTGTAGACTGTTCCAGCCAGGATGGGCTGATATTCCAGATGCTTCCTAAAGCTGTACCCTCTAGTGTATTAACAATCCCCCATCAAATTCACCATCCAGTCACCCATACTGTGAACCCCCAGGCAGTGATGCTCTGGCCACTCCATGCTCCACAGCCCTGAGGGAGGTGCCAGCACTGAAACACACCAAGGATGTAGCTGGGATGCTTGAGGGTTTGGGGTGGATCTCCACAACAAGGAGTGGGCAGAGGAGGTTGACTGGCTTTGGGTTCATCTCTCAGGACACCATGCTGGACAATGCCTTAGGCTGCCTCAGGAATGTGACACTTGAGGAGACAAGCCTTTATGTCAAGGCTCTGATGGCTTATGTCTTCACACTGACCAGGGACATGGAAATGAGGCAGCAGCTCCTGGATATGCTCGAGAAGGAAACTGGTACGTTGTTGTTGTTGTTTAGGAGATTGGAAGTTCTAGAGATAATGACTGTGCTTGAGGTCTGATCTCTGTAGGGTTTCATTGCAGTAGTTTGTAAAATTTAACTCCTCTTAGAATTGGCTTTTGTGTCAGCAAATGGCAATTTATTGAAGCTGGGAAAGTCTCTGTGTTTGTCAGGCTCAGGGAACAATTTCTCATCAACAGCAGCAGAGGTGAGCCACGCTTCATTTGTGTGGCTGAAGTACACACTGGAGCTGTGGTGCTCCCAGATTCCTTCAGCAATACTCAGTACAAGGGACCATGCAGCAGAAACTTGCCTCACCCTGTCTGTTCAGCTGCTGGTCGTGGCATTTCCCTGCAGAATCCAAACCTTTTGACTGCTCAGGGGTGTGGGTGGGTGCATCTTTCTTTGTTGTGCTGCTGAACTTGGATCTTCCTTTTGTCTCCTCAGCTTTGAAAAAAAATTGACTTCTGTCCTGAAAGAGGATGTGGAGTGGGGGTTTCAAAGCACCTAAGCCTATGGTTAAACAGATGGTAGCAATTGGCTGAAGGAAGTTCTTCCACACATCTGTTCATCTGGCAGGATAGTGAACTACACTCAGGACTGAAAAAGAACACAGAATTAAAAAAGGGGGAGAGGATAGGATCATAGAATCATTTCAGTTGAAAAAGACCTTTCAGATCATGGAGTCCAACCATTAACCCCACACTGCCAAGCCCATCACTAAACCCTGTCCCTAAGCACCTCATCTACATATCTTAAAGGACTCCACCACTCCCCTGGGCAGCCTGTTCTGAAAACTGACTTTGAATTTAGAAACCTCTCAGATTTTCACATTTTTACCACAGCAGACGATGTCTATGCTGCCACAATTAAGCTAAATTACCTGAATTTTGGTTAACTCCCTGCTTTCACTACAGCAAAATATTCAGCCACGCTCAGATGCATTCAGTGCCCGTGAGCTTGGATCATGGGCAGGAGCCCAGCTCCAGCTTAAACTGGGCTGGGCTATGCAGTGTGGGGTGAGGATGGCACCATGGACAGTCTTGCTCCTCTGGGAGCCAGCCATCAGTTCTCCCTCAAGGTGTGAGCAGTTCTTGCAGAGCAGATACCACTGACTGGAAATGAGCCCTAGGGCTTTTCAGCACAGAGAGCCCTGTTAGATTATTTAGCTAAATGCAGGAGCAGAAACTGCTGCAGCTCAGGGACAGAGCTCTGGACCTACACAGAGCTGGGCTGGACTAGGACTGGACTTCATACAAAAAGCTTCTGGTCAATCCATTCCAGGGGGAACTGTTTCCTACAGGAACTGATTCAGGATTTTGGGCCTTGATCTCTCTGTGCATTCAAAGGAAGAAAGGGAACCTGTCATAGGTGGTTGGTCTTCCAGAGTACAAATCCAGGAGGGACTGGCTCCTGCCCTCTGAGGTGCCCTAGAAAGGCACGTGCACTTGTGAAGGTGTACAGGGAACAGTCCCCAGAGGGAGCCAGGGCAGAAGCTGACCTTCATAGGATCTACTGTTCTTCCATATGCTTCTTCCCCCAACAGCAGAGCTGCTGGCATCACATTCCAGTGGTGAAGAGTCTTCTTCTATGATTGAGACAATGGCCTATGTCCTCCTGGCTCGTGTCTCCACGCCAGAGGTGGCATTCAATGAACCCTCAGTGAGCAAGCTCGTGCACTGGCTCAGTGGGCAAAGAAATGCATTTGGTGGATTTGCTTCCACACAGGTAACAAGCTGGGGAAATCCCTGGGGGAGGAAAAAGATCTCTCATATGCAATCCCCTCTAGTTCCACCCCTTGCAGACAGACATACGTGTCCTCTCCTTGGGAGGGGAGATGCCATGGGGACACTTCTGTGTGGTGTAATTGGGATGACCCAGGAGTTGGGACTGCTAGCCCCAGGGCTCAGGAGCCACCCTTTCCAGGTCACAGAAGTCATCTGTCTGCCAGTGGCATAGACCTTTCCTAGGTACTTCATGACCCAGACCCTGCTCGTGTCCGTGTGAATCAGGACCATGAGGAGCATGGTTCTCCTGGCAGCTCCTGCCCTCCTGTGCTGGCTCTTGTCCTGCATGGCTCCACTGCAAAGTGTCTCCCTCCCCTCAGTTCACAGTGTGGCTCCACAGCAGTGTCTCTCTCCCCCAGGACACAGTGTGGCTCCACAGCAGTGTCTCTCCCCCAGTTCACAGTGTGGCTCCACAGCAGTGTCTCTC